CTGGCAGGGATCCTCATAATAGGGTTTAGTAGCCCCCTGCTTCTATCTGAGTTTGCTTTAGAGTGCTAGAAAAAATAATAGCAAAATTTATCTAGAAGAACACAAGATCAACAATATCAAGGGAATCAATGAAAAAAAAAAAAGGAACAGTACCTGACCTCAAACTATGCTGTATATACTCAAACAAACTATATAAAGCTGTAATCATTAAAACAATTTGCTACTGAATGAGAAATGAGAGGTTGATTAGTAGAACAGATTGGGTACTCATTATACAGAGCTAACAAAGCACCATAGCCTAGAGTTTGGGGAGCTCAAAGATCCTAGCTGTTGTGGTAAGAACTCACCAAGAACTCAGAAGAACTTACTGAAACAACTGTTGAAAAAAGGAAAGCAGCCGGTTCTTGCTCAGCAGGCAGTTAGGGTCCCCTCTTGCTGCCACCCCTCTGAGACTGCTCCTCTCTGCCTTGGATCAGTGACTTGGAACTGGGTGGTGGGAGACAGACTTGGCAGATGGCCCCGTTCCTACACTGGTGCTAATTTAGACATCCTCTGAAATCTCTTTCTGCTCCAGCGTTTCCCAACCTGCTGCCTAGTTTCAGCTCTCATTCAGTCCCTGGTGCTGGAATTCAATTCCATCTGCACCCCTCACCAGACCCAATCCCCAGTATCTCCAAACCTCCATTTTTGTTTGTGTAAGGATCCTTGGGCTGAAAAAACATGGCTCATGACTTGTTCTTGAATTTCCCAATTAGAATTCAATCTGATGTGTTTTCTAGATGTTTTCCAAGGAGATATGGTGGCTGTAATGTTTCCTCTTACTCAGCCAACTAGCCTCTGCACCACTATCTCCATTTTGGTAGGCCATCTGCCAAGCTTGGCGTGTTCTTTCTCTGTTCCTCCACTCAATGAAATCCTCCTCCCTCAGCTTCCACCCAGTTCAGGGGCTGCCATTCCATGAAGCTTCTCCTGATTTCTTCTCCTTCCTAAATTTTTTAGAAAGCTCTTCATCTGGATCTCTTCTTAGCTTTTTAGCCTATTCTGTCTCATATTATACTTAACTTGTTTGCAAGTTCTATCTTCCAGCAGAATGTTAACCTCTTGACAAGGTTTGTATTTTTCCTCTTTTTGTAATCTTAGCAACATAACCCACTTCCATACACATAGTAAATTGAAATGAATAGATTGTTTGTGTCTTAATTTTGTGGATAACACAAAGCTAACAATGTCGTACTGCCAAATCAGTATGCAAAAAGACCTTGTTAGGCTAGCTAGGATGATGGGCAAATGATAGCAAGATGGAATTTAATAGGCCTTCATTTAGTTTAAACAAATCAACTCTTATATTACAATATAAATGAGATTTGGTTGGAAAGCATTCCACGTTCAAATGACTAAGGATTTTAGTGGACTACAAGCCTAATATGCATCAGTAGTGTGATGTAGTATACAAAAAAGCGCACGGGAGCTTAAAATCACAGAATGCTAAGGCCTAAAGAAAGTGAGGCATTAGTTGAACTCTATTCTGCTTTTGTCAGACTCTCATATATGTTATATTGTGTAAATTCCTGGTCATCACTTTTAGAATGCATGTCAACAAGCTAGAGCTCCTCTGGAGGCGGAAGACCAGATTGTGAAGGATTTCAAACTGTGTCCGCTGTGGACTAGCGGAAGGAACTGCTGGGTGTGTTTAGCTTAGAAAGGAGATTTAGATGACATGATTGTCATCTTTAAATATTTAAAAGGGTCATGTAGGAAAAGGAAGGGACTTGTTCTGCTCGGTTCCAGAGGGCCAAACTAGTACCAGTGGGTGGAAATTACAAGGCAGTAGATTTTGAATTAACATATGAAGAGACTTCTGTGGGGTCCAGGCTGTCCAACAGTGTCTTCAAACAGATGCTCCATGATTACCATCCAGGGACCTTGTAAAGAGAATTCATGCTTTGGGTCCAGACTGGACTAGAGATGCAAACAGGAAGCTCTGAAAGCCACTCAAAATCTGACATTCTGTGATTTTATGTAAATATGAGCTATTTTTTATTTCCTGATGCTTGCAGAGAAGCATTATATGTGAAGAGTGAAAACTCTTAAGAAATGAGGCATTATGGGGCAGCTAGGTGGCACACTGGCCATGGAGTCAGGAGGACCTGAGTTCAAATCTGACCTCAGACACTTACAACTTTGTGTGACCCTGGGCAAGTCATTTAACCCGAATTACCTAAAAAAAAAGAGAGAAAAGAAAAGAAAGAAAGAGAAAGAAAAGAAATCAGGCTTCAGTTGTTGGTGCACACTTTTAATCCCAGCCACTGGGTGGGCTGAGGCTAGTGAATCTCTTGAGCTCTGGACTTTTGAGCTTCAGTGTGCTATGCTGGCCCCTCCTAAGTTTGGCATCCCTATGGTGAGCCTTTGGGAGTGAGAACTACCAGGTTGCCCAAGGATGGGCAAACTGTCCAATCTGAAACAGAGAAGGTCAGAGTTCCTGTGCCAGTCAGAGTGAGATTGGGCCCATGACTGGTCCCTGCTCTTACAATCTGGGTGAGAAAGGGAGACCTAGCCTTTTAAAAACAAAGAAAAGGAAGAGAAAAAGGCTGTTAATTTGTACTTCAATATGGTTATGTCCTGTTTTACATAATAAACATATAATTGAGAAGTAATATGGAAATTAATTTGCAAAAATTAAGTCATGTTAAAATTCACTAGGATAGCTGAATATTTAAAACATCATATTAATGAGGTTACTTACTGACCTAGAAGTCATTGTTAGAAATTTGACTGGGGCTTTCAGAAACCCTTTTTAAAAATTCTGGTGACTCCCGCTTAAACCTTTGAGGACTATAGTGACAAGAATGGCAGGCCTAGAGTGTGAGGGATTGAGTGCCTGAGACCCTCTAACCCCTCCCTACCCCTCCCAGCCCATAATGGGGTAAAATCAAGTTACTGTGAATATTTAGAGCAGATGTCATTTATTTATTTATTCACAAATGTTTCTTAAGTGTTTGTTATGTACAATATACTCTTCTAGGCCTTTGGGGAGACACAAAAGCAGCAATTATTACGTTAACAAAATGAGAACAGTAACATTTCACATCACATTTCATTTCCCCAAGTCCCGTGCCCTCAAGGACTCTGGTAGGGGTACACTTAGGGACCTTAGAGGTCATCTAGTCCAACCCCACCTCATTTTACAAAAGAGGAAACTGAGACCCAGAGAGATTAAAGGATTTGTCCAAAGTTACACAGGTAGCAAATGACAGAGCTGGGATTCAAACTAAATATGGACTCCCAAGTTCACATTGAACTACAGATAAGAATACAAATACTCATGAGATCAAAGCATAGCTGTTCATATTTAAGTATTGAGCTTTACAGTTTATAAAGGATTTTTCTCCTGTGACCTGTCTGGGTATATAAAGCAAATACCATATTGATCTGGAAGGAAATATGGACAAGCAGGACAGCTTTGAGTACTACATGTTGAATGTATTACTTACTTAAAAGTAAAAAGAAAACCGTACATAATGGAGATTTGAAGTTTCATGTGTAATCCTCCTTTTTTATGTTCTGCTTTGTATATGGAAATGTTAATTTTGTCTGGTGTTTATTAAGGTCAGAATAAAAAACACATTAAATTAAAATTTAAAAAAAATTTAAAAATTAAAATAAATATTTTAATTAAAATATTTTAATATTTATTTTTTCTTTTTTATTAATTTATTTTGGTTTATCAACAATCACTTCCATAAGCTTTTGAATTTTAAATTTTTCTCTCCCTCCCTCCCCACCTTCCTCCCCAAGATGGCACGCAATCTGATATAGGCTATACATATACATTCCTATTAAACACATTTTCACATTAGTGATGTTGTAACGAAGAATTAGAACCAATAGGAGGAACCACCAGAAAGAGGAAACAAAACAAAGCAGAAGAAAAAAAAATAGCAAATAGTATGCTCCGATCTGCATTCAAACTCCATAGTTCTTTCTTTTGATGTGGATAGCATTTTCCATCATGAGACCTTGGGAGATGTCTTTGATCCTTGCATTGCTGAGAAGGGCCAAGTCTATCAAACTTAATCATCGCACAACGTGGCTGTTACTGTGTACAATGTTCTCCTGGTTCTGCTCACTTCACTCAGCATCAGTCCATGCAAATCTTTCCAGGTTTTTCTGAAGTCTGCCTTATAGCACAATAGTATTCCACTACATTCATATACCACAACTTGTTCAGCCATTCCCCAATTGATGGGCGTCCCCTCAATTTCCAGTTCTTTGCCACCACAAAAAGAGCTGTTATAAATATTTTTGTACATGTGAGTCCTTTTTCCATTTGTGTGATCTCTTTGGGATACAGCCTTAGAAGTGCTATTGCTGGGTCAAAGGGTATGCACATTTTTATAGCCTTTTTGGCATAGTTCCAGATTGCTCTCCAAAATGGGTGAATCGTTTCACAACTCTACCAATAATGCGTTAGTGTTCCAGTTTTTCCCACATGTTCTCTAACAGTTATCATTTTCCTGTTTTATCATGTTGGCCAGTCTGATAGGTGTGATGTGTTACCTCAGAGTTGTTTTGATTTGCATTTCTCTAATTAATAGTGATTTCGATCATTTTTCATATGACTATAGTTAGCTTTAATTTCTTCATCTGAAAACTGCCTACTCACATCCTTTGACCATGTATCAATGGGGGAATGACTTTAAAAATATTAAAAATATTTTAAAAAATTTAAAAAATACCATATTGGTTTGAATCCCGAAAATGTATCCCCAAAGTGAGATCTTTTTGAAAGAAAAAGAAGTACACACCAAAAAGAAAAACACAGATTATTGGCTGTATTTGGTTTTAATACAAGCCAGATTCGAAGGGAAAGTAGAGCTTCCATTTGGAGCAGTACCTCATTATATTGTTAATTATAAAGTGTTGTATGAATTCAAACTGTTGCTATTGATATTAACAAAGGTCCCCTTACCTTCCTTTATTTTCTCCTTGTGAATATCCAGGTGGAATCTGTCAAAAATATCAGAACTTACTGCAGGAAAACAGTCTGAGTCCAAAGAAACATGCAAGCAGCCTACCCTGACTAGCTCATCTACTGTTACGGACGGTGTCAAGATGCAAAGTATTTGGAACTGAACGAGGCTGAGCACTTATACAGTAGAACATAATTAGATTTGGAAATAGAAAAAACTAAGTGGGGGAATTACAGGCAACAAATTTTGAAAGACTGAGTTCACTTTCAGTATTCATGATAGCTAGCAAGAATTTTAACAATGTTTCAATATCTCTCTAAAATTCATAGTTCATAGGATTTAAAGATGGAAGAAATGCTTAAAAGTCATTTGGTTTAATCTTTTCATTTTAAAGACCAGGAAACTGAGGCCCAGGGTGATTAGATGACTTACCCAAGGCCATTACAGGTAGGAGCAGAGTCAGTATTTGAATCCTGGACCTCTGACTCCAAATGTAATTTTATAGTCACTAAACACATTGCCACAAAAAAGTGGCAGAGTGGTAAGTTCTTTTTCACGTAGAAGATTTGGGCTAATTAGTGTAGTTTGCAAGACTTAATCAGATTTGAAGAACCTTTTCCCAAAGAAAAGGTTCTGGGAAAAAACAGAAATAAATAAATGAGCACCTAGTTCTGAATAATGGGGAAAATGGCAATTTTTAGGTACTACTTTTCATTTGAAGTATTATTAGATCTCTTGTGCAATGCTAAGATACTCTGCTATAGTGGAAGGAACTGGTAATGTTTGCCTTGGAAATGAAAATATAAAAGGAAAATATGATAGATTTCTCCTTTATTTGAGAGACTGTTACAGAGAAAGGGAATATATATTCCATAGTTCTCCAGGTAGAAGAACTATGACTAATGGATGAAAGTTCAAAATGAGTCAGATTTCATCTGAACATAAGGAAAGATTCATTGGAAATATCCAACTATGGAACGGGCTAAGCAGTAAGTTCTACCTAAGGAAGAGTGGAGGTATTCAAACAGATTCTATAAGGCCCATTTCTGACTGTTGCAGAAGGTGTGTATACCTTCAGGGGGAGATTGGACTAGGTAACCCATAAGGAGGATATCATGGAATCTTAAGAGTTTGAAGAGATCTTAGAGTTTAGTTATTTTAATCCTCTACCCAGTGACGATCCCTAACACATGGCTATCTCTCTTCTCTTTGAATACCTCTAGAATCCCCTTTCATATGAGGCAGAACATTCCATTTTCAGCATTTCTAATTGTTAGGAAGTTCTTTCTGATATTGAACAGGGAGTCCACCTCCCTTTGCTTCCTTTCTTTTTTAACATTTAATTTTTGGCTGGTGTGGTAGACCGTGCCTGTAATCCCTGCTACTGGAGAGGCTGAGGTCAGTGGATAACTTGGGCTCAGGAGTTTTGAGCTGCAATTAGGCTAAAATTGATCAAGTGTCTGCACAATGCCTGGTACCAATATGGTGAGTCCTTCTGGAAGCAAGAGGCCACCAGGCCACCTAAGGAGGGGCAAACCCATTTAGGTTAGAAATGAAGAAGGTCAAAGCTCCCCTGCCAATTAATAGTTGGACTGGGCCTGAGAGTAGCCACTCAACTTCTGGCCTATATGCAAGATAGGGAGACGTAGCCTCCAAAAAAATAACTTGACTGTTTTTTAAATTAACATTTATTATTTTTTCTCTCTCCCATCTTTCTTCCATTGGGAAAAAAGAGAACAAAACTAAAATTTTTATAATAAATATTCATAGTAAAGCAAAATGAATTCCCTCATTGGTCATATCCAAAAATATGACTCATTCTGCATCTTGATTCCATCCATCACGTGTCTGTCAGGAGGGAGTAGCACAATTCATCCTTCATCTGTTCTTTGGAATTTTGGTTGGCTATTGAATTGATCACAATTGTTCTTAAGCCTTTCAAAATTGTTTGTCTTTACAGTGGTCTTGCTATTTGTATAACCTGTTCTCCTGGTTCTGCTCACTTCGCTCTGTATCAGTTTATACAAGGCTTCCCAGGTTTCTCTGAAACCATCTCTCTCACCATTTCTTGTAGCATGGTAGTATTCCATTAATTCATGTGCCACAGTTGTTCAACCTTTTTGCTAAATGATGTGTTCCTCCTTAGTTTCCAGTTCTGCTATAAATATTTTTGTATATATGGGTTGTTTTCCCCTTTCTTTGATCTCTTTGGGAAATAGGCAGTAACTTCCTTTCCAAGACTAGTATTCTGTGCTTCTATTTATGATTTCAGATTTGCCCCCTTGCCAACTGGAGATGTATTTTCTTGTCCTTTTTCCATGGGCCCTCCAAAAACAGAAATTGTGCTGTGATACATAGCAGTGCTAAAGTTGAAGCCCAAAGAAATTTGTCATTTGATGATAGGAAGTTGGTAGATTTTCTTCTAACCTTTTCTGTGCATTGCTACGGAACATCAGGACGCAGGAAAGCCTAGTTGGGTTCTTCAAATGCCGTACTTCCCCACTCCTACTCATTTTTGCAGATGAATGTCTATTATCAGATGAAACTTGGATTGCATTGCTAGCTAATTTGAAATGTTTGGACAGGAAAACTGAAGGACTTTGGGATGTAGATTGTATCTTTATTTCTTTCAGTGGAAGCTCTTTTTTTTTTTTAAGAAAAAGGAGATCATAAGAAGTGACAAGATGTTGAAAGAGAAGTGTGAAGGAGGGAATCATAGCTTCTTGTAATCATAGCCTTTGTGCAAAAAATAGAGCGAAGATTTCAAAGACCAGGATGAACCAAGTCAAGAGGTTTTTAAATTAAAATTGAGGGGAAAGGGAGAAATTTGGTCTTTAAAATTTTCTTAAATTAAAAAAAACCCTGATGCCATTTGCAATGATAGTAAAGAAAGTTTTGGGGACCAGTTCTCAAGTGAAACTAATAAGAGAGGGATAATGATATTTCTTTTTTAAAATTTTTAAAATTTATTTTTAGTTTTCAACATTCACTTCTATAAGATTTTGAGTTCTAAATTTTCTCCCCCTCCTTCCTCTCACCCCTTCCCCAAGATGGCATGCAATCTGATACAAGCTCTACATGTACAATCATATTAAACATATTTCCACATTAGTCATGTCGTAAAAAAGAATTAGAACCCAAGGAAAATGAGAAAGAAGAAACAAATAAAAAAAGAGAAAATAGTGTGCTTTGATCTGCATTCAGACTCCATAGTTCTTTCTCTGGACATGGATAGCATTTTCCATTACGAGTATTTTGGAATTGTCTTAGATTCTCGCAGACAATGATATTTCTAACCTCAGATTTTCATAGTCTAGTAGACAGAGGATAGGTCATAAGCAAATTGAACTTGAAATTAATATTAGCTCAGCTTCAAGTGCCTAAGATTTGGATGTGTGGCATGCATGACCAGAATACAATGATGGAAATATATAACTCATTTAAAAGAAACAGATCAAATAGAAAAGATAAGGGGTATAGCTCTGCATATTAGAAGGTTATGGGAATCTAGAACCTGCAAGATAGAAATGTGGTAATACTTCAGCCAAGATAAAAGAGAATAGGAAATCATATTGTTTTGGGAGCATATTACAGACAAAATAGGCAGCGTGAAGGATACTTCCAAATACAAATTATCAAACTAACGTAGAAGCAAGATGTATGGTGGTAATGATCAACAGTGTTAGCTTATTCAGGCATCTGTCTGAAGTCTCATTCTGATAAATTCTTGACTTGCTTTGGTTACAGTTTTCTTTTTCTTTCTTTTTTTTGGCTAGGCAATGGGGTTAAGTGACTTGCCCAGGGTCACACAGCTAGTATGTGTTATGTGTCTGAGGCCGGATTTGAACTCAGGTCCTCCTGAATCCAGGGCCAGTGATCTATCCACTGAACCACCTAGCTGCCCCTAGTTTTATTTTTCTTGAAGATTGAAGAAGCAACAAGCGATATTGCTGCTCTGAACTTAACTGTGATCAATAGAGATTTGGTTTGAAACACGAGAGTGACAGTAATCTTGGGAGATAGTGACCGTGTAAACCTAACTGCCTGTGATAGCTGAGAAAAAGGATGCTGAACATAATCATACCTTATAATACTAAATAACAGTAATATAATTTGTAATATCATATGACATCATTGTTATTATACTTTAACAAAATTCCAAAAATGTTTGGAAAAAAATAATAGATGTGATCCTATACAGGCCAAGGTCTCTAAAAGGGATGCAGAGGGATGTTTTGTGATCAGTATCAAAATTATGGGATCACAATGCAGAAGAAAAAGGGAGTCAGCTAAACAAACCAGTATGGTCAAACAAAGACCTCTCTAGTGAATTCACATTTGAAAAGAGCCCGCACTAAAGGTGAAAGAGAGAACCATAATTAAGGAAACAAAGAGGAGTTGCTTAAATCCATAGTCATAATCTCAGGAAGGGTACAGCCCCAAATCAGGTGAGGATTTCTGAGGACCACAAAAGGGCTCTTTAAAGTTATGTTCAGTGCAAGAACAGAAGGAAGAAAGGTGTCCTCTGCAGAGTAATGAAAGAAGCTCTGGGCTTAAGACAACCTAGGAAATCGCCTGTCCAGTCTTTAGGCTGCAGTTCCCTCATTTTCGAAAGGAGATGCCGGGCCTCTAGGGTGCCTTCAAGCTCTAGTATTTTTCTCTGATTTGGGGAAGGACGGGCTTCCCTGTTTGAGTCCATGGTATAATGTTAGGAAATGATAGAACTACTCAACTCTACTGTATTTTCATCTCTTCCCATCAAGAGAAATGATCTTTGAGCATGAGAGCATAACAAATATGGTTAGGAGAGAACTGAATCCCAAAGTGGGTGAGAAGCTAAGGAGAAAGCATCCATTTGGTTTTAGAAAAACTCACTCCTCCAGGCTCAAAAGAACTGCATCCCAGGCTGATGACAAGACTTAGGGATGTAGTCTGAGAAACACTATTGACAGTCTTTCAGAAGTCACTGAGACTAAAGGGTGTATTAGTAGATTTAACATGCACAAATTTTGCTTTACTATTTTAAAGGGGAAAAGGGTAGAGTGAAGTGGGCAGAACGGTCCAGTGGAAAGAATGCTGGGTTTGGTGTGAGAGATCCCAGCTTCCCTACTTATGTGACTTTTGGCAGGTTTTCACCTCTTAGAGCCTTAGCTTCCTCATCTGCAGGATGAGAGGATCAGACCTCTAATCATAAATGACTTCTGAGTCTAAATCTGTGATTCTTTGATGAGTCTTGGAAGCTACAGAGCAGTTAGCTTGACTTGGATTCCCAGCAAAGTGCCAGAAAGGATAAGAAAAGATGGCGGAATCACTATTATGGTTTATTTGGAGCCAGCACTGGTTCACAAGGCATGTCAAACTAACCTCATTCTTTCATGTTAAGGCACATAGGTGGACTGGTGGATCAGGAGGTTACTGTCAATATCACTATACCTTCATTTCGTAAGGACACTTGTCAATGTAGCTTATGAATTAGGTAGGCTCATAGGGGGTTAGAAAACGATGCTTAGTGCTGGATGATAAATTAATGTCTATGAGGGGTGGTCTCTACTGACTGTGTCGCGTGTCAGCGCTTGAAGTAAGAGAAGCCATGGCCATCCAATCTGGAGAGGATGCAGAGCTACAATGGAGAGTTGATATGTTAGATAACGGAGTCAGTATTCAAAAAAATCTCGACAGGCTCTAGAGCTGAGCCCAGGATAGAATTTAACATGGAAGTTTTCCACTTTTTTTAAACCGTTTTGTTTTGTTGAGGAACCTCAACAAAATCTCTCAATAGGTTTTAACGTCCTTATTAGTATGGTAAGGAGAATGGTTGAAAATGTCTAGTTAAAATCGTATTCATTCCAAGAATTATTTCATGCCACCTTGGTCTTTAGTATTCTATTTAATTTTACTTTCTTGCTTCACACTGACCCTTCCTTTTTCACTGTTGAATAAAAAGATAGAAGAATTTCAGGCAAGAAAAAGAAGAGATTTGCACTATGTGATGAAGAGTCAGAAGCAACAGTGGCCAAGAGACAGACTATCTTTTCTGCGGAGCTGGATGTCATGCCTCTTCTTGCTGGTAGCTTTCACATTTTTAAAAAATTTATTGATTTTTAAAAAATTTTATTTTTAAAATGTATTGATTTTATGGGGCAGCTAAGTGGTGCAGTGGATAAAGCTCTGGCCTTGGAGCCAGGAGGACCTGAGTTCAAATCCAGTCTCAGACACTTGACACTTAACTAGCTGTGTGACCCTGGACAAGTCACTTAACCTCGATTGCCTCACCAAAAAAGCAAAAAAAAAAAAAGACTGATTTATGAATATGTGTATGCAGGTATATATTATATGTGTATGATATATATATTTAAAATTTTTGGTGCCTCTATCTAAAAGTGGACCAGAATATTCAGAAAACATAGCTTAGAATCATTGAGTTTTAGAGCAGGGAATGACCTTGGAGATCATATATATTCTCATGTGGAAGCTCCCAATATAAATTTCCCATTCCAGTGACTTCTGAGCATAAAGGTCAAGTGCAAGGTCATTAATGTAGAGCTAGAAGGTCCCACTACCTTAAACAATGCATTTCAACCAAGGAAACAGATCCAGAGAGGTGAAAGAAATGCAATGAAAACGGTTCCATCAACTGTTTGTCTCCCCAAGGACCATCTGGGAGTGTTCCTTTTTAGCTGCACTTTCCTTTCCTTAGGGGAAAAAATTACATGAGCACAAAGAAGGAACAAGAAAATGCCACAGACACTTCTGCTCCTCATATGAGCCCATCAGCTCTTTCATCGACCACATTATGAGGTGAAAGCAATGATGATCTAATCCAATCTAATAGGAAGTGGCTGATAAATTACCAACTATGGAGAAGACTCATTGCTTTAGCAATGGTTGTTTCCCACAACTGGGATGCTTTTCTTTCTCACCTCCGCCTTTTGAAATCCCTGATTTCCTTCAAGTCTCAGTCCTGGCTAGACCCTTTCCACTTATGCAATGACTATGGAATGGTGGAATAAGGGAATAGTGTGGAATGATGGAAGGGAGGCCGGAGATGATCAGAATGAAACATTTTCAATATATAGTTTTTAATGATTTAAAAACCACTTTCCATGTTTGTATTTACATTGTAAGGAAAAAGCAAATTGTATTATAATTATAGGTATACGCCAACCAGCAGTGCTAATTGGTTTAGCAAAACCAAGTCATAAGAAACAAATTAATGGGGCATTTATTTACAGAAGAGCAATGTTGTGAATAGGATGATTAGTGGATTGCCCTTTGAGGAGGTAACTTTCTAGAGGGCTCAGTTACCTGAGGCATGTAAGCTTGCCCCAAACTATGATTGCAGCATTATTTCATAAAGAGTGGGAATTAGTTACATAATGTATTAATAAGGATGCTGTGAAATAGTTTGTCAATACCTTGTGCATTATATATAATTATGCTTTTTTATATAATTATGAAGTTAGCAGGTTAGTGCAGAATATATTTGGGGTAACATATTAAAAAGGAATAAATAAAGCCATTTGTTTGTCATGACTACGCAGATTTGTTGCACCAATCGTCACCCCACCCCCACCCTGGCCTTTTTTTCCCCCCAAGGTGGGTGGAGAGTTGAGAGAGAGAAAAAAATAAATTTTTGTTGATTGAAATAAATCAAATTAAATAAATAAGGCCAAGCTACCGGTGAATTTTTTCCCCCTGTTTCTCCAGGCTAAAAGAAAATAGTTGCAAATCTACTCAATATGTTTATACTCAAGTATGATGAGCTCCCTCTGCTGGCTTTGATACAAAATATTTGAGCGGGATCCTGGTCATATTCAGTGATTTTGAAAAATTGTTGCAAGATAGTAGAGAGGGGGTTTTTTGTTCGTTTTGGTTTTCTCTACATGAAAGCTGACTAAAACTCAAAAACAATTTTAAAATCTTAGGATCACAGAATTGTCAAGTTGCAAAAATTATCCAGTTCTTGACCCAATCTAAATCTCCTCAGAGAAATTATAGAGATGCTGTATTTATGGGTATCTGACAGTGGATAATACAAAATTCTAGAACTGAGTTCTATGGGAATCAGGTGAATGGAGCTGGCTACAGCTTACCTTCGAAAGAGTCTGTGGAAAAAATTCAGTTTATATATTTTAAAAATCACACTTTGGAGCATGTGTGATATAGCCTGTAATGGTTAGAATAATTTCCCTTGTTTCTAAATTCTTTTCTGAAGAATTTTCTGTGACCAGAAGGAAGTAATCATCACAGAGGTTTTTATTCAGATCAGATCAGTTCCTGACTATGTGTATGACCTTTATCAAAGTCTTGAACATAGTAGAATCTTTATAAATTGACTGAGAAGCAAATGGGAATTGGTATTTGGATCAAACTGTTATTTTGGGTGCCTTTGGGTACCTTCATTAATATCCCTCACATGGTGATTATTGAATAAACACAATGCTTATGCCAGACAGTAAGGACCCTTTCCAAATACAGTAAAGTCAGTGCCACCCTACAGTAGTTATACTTTGGGGTAATACCTGACCTGTAAATGTTTATTTCAGAAAACTTAAATATCTTTGTTTATGTGTGTTTATTGGCTTATTATTAATTTAAAATTTGGAGGAAGCTAGATGGCGCTGTAGTGCACAGAGTGCCGTGCCTGGAGTCAGAAGACTCATCTTCCTGAATTCAAATCTGGCCTCAGACATTTACTAGTTGTGTGACCCTGGTCAAGTCACTTAACCTTGTTTGTCTCAGTCTCCTCATCTATAAAATGAGCTGGAGAAGGAAACGGCAAACCACTCCAGTATCTTTGCCAAGAAAATCCCAAATGGAGTCACAAAGAGCTGGACACAATTGAATAATGACAGAACTATAATGCAACAAAATTTAAACTTTATATTAAAAAATAATTAAAATTTAAATTAGTTTAGAAAAATTAATCCACAGCAGGTGTTCTGCCTTCTCCAATTAATTGGAGCATTGAAGTAGCCTTCATTTGATTTGTGGTGAATAAATGGTGAAGAAAGGTTTTTCTGTGGTGCATGTGTTTTTTCCACAGGACAGACAACTGTGATGAGTCACATTAAAGAAAATAACTCCAAAATTTTGGATTGCTATTTGAATTTAACAGTAGATGCCCCACTTATGACAGAGGAACAGAAGCAGGATTTAAACCCTTTGATTATAAAGATCAAGTCTGTTGCTTACCTTCCAACGGATCCTGTGCGTCTTGATCAACTGCAGGTATTTCAGTTACTGTTCTCATTTTCTCTTATTCCCATGTAACACCAAATTTTGAACAGAATTGCTTCCTTTGGCCAAAATATGTACATCAACTATCAGTGATAAATCTTTTAAATAAGTTTTTACTGATGTCTTCTCTTTGCCATATCATCACAGTTATCCTCAGTCTCCCTCTCTGTCTCCCTCCCAGAGAGCCATCAGTGATAGGCTTTTTAATAAAAATTGGAATCTAAGTAATTGTCTTCAATGGCATTAACCATTCTTGCAGAAGAATATGGATCCTGTTGCACAGGCTGATGTAGCTAATTCCACCTAGGGAATACAATTCTTCTGATTCTTTTGAGAATATATATTCAGATTAGAATCTGTGGAAACCTCAACCCACCAAATACTAGGAGTCTGACCCTTGTTATTTCTGTCATTGTCCAAATAGTGAGGCTGTTGGCTTGAACATTGAGTTTTTAGCTTTCCTACTAGGGTGTATGGGGTGTTCAAGAAGGGCTGGCACTTTAGGGGTGAGAGCTCGCTGAGCCCTTTTCAGGGCTGCTCATCCATCCAGAGCCACATCCTGGCACTCAGCTCTCACCTGTGGCTCCAAGAAGCTGTAGCATGCACAGTGGCCACACTCTGGCAAGACCGTCTTGGCAGATGGGCTAAGGGAGGTTGAGGGTAACTCATGGACCACAAACCCACAGGTGAGTTAGCAGGGTGCCTACACCAAGCCTTTGAAGACTTCCCTCAGTGGAATGGGTGGATGAGAACAATTTGTCCCAGTGGCCATGAAGATGGCTGAAGCAGGCACTATGGGGCGCTTAGAGTTTGGTCAGACATCAAAGACACCAAGGTCTCCCACAGCATCCTGGGCCATCCCCAGTCATCCTGACTTTTGTCTTGCTCTGGACTTCAGTGACTCCAGAAGAGAGAGTGAGGCAGACGACTTTGCACAGTTCTGCCTCACTGAAGTCAAGTCATCAACCTGTGATGTCATCGGACCTCTTTGAAAATGAAGGGTTAACAGCCTCTTTCCTACTGACTGTTTATGATACAATTAGATCCTGCCTGTTTCAATTGGTTTAATCACTGTAAGGACTGACATCCTTATAATATAAATCTATATAAAATCGGTCGAAAAGGATCTTAGAAACCATGCAATCCAACCCTCTCTTTTTACAGAGGAGAAAATAAAGACCCAGGGAAGTAAAATGATTTGTCTGAGGTCAGCTAGTTGGTGACAGAGCTACTAGGGGTGGGAGAAGCTAGGTCTTTCAATGCTAATCCAGGGCTCCATGATTTGTTGAATCTGACCCTTCTACCATCTTGTTGCATGATAGATTTCTCCTAATACACCTGTCACCCTTGACTTCTTTGTCATTAATTCCTGCAGAAGCGTTTTTGTATGCTAATTTTGTCCTTGTATATTGGGTGGTCACTAGCTATTTCTGAGAAGTAGTATATGAAGGATTGATTCCTATGACCAAATGCTGTGATCATAGGGAGGTCTGAGTTATCGTCTTCATAGTGCCAAAGAAAAGAGGCTATTGTGTCAGAAATGTTGCCAAATTACCGAATGTTACCAAATTACCATCTAGAGTGTCTCCTGAAGCAGGCTCCTGTCATGCAGGAATCTACTATCTAGGTGTCACAACAGATAGAGTTCTAGACCTGGAGTCAAAGAATCCTGAGTTCAAATCCAGCCTCAGATACTAGGTATGTGACCCTGTGGCTCAGTTTACTGTTCTGTAAAATGGGGGTAATAGCACCTACCTCCCAGGGTATTAGTGAGGATAAGATGGATAATATTTGTAAAGTGCTTTGCAAACTTAAAAACATTATGTAAATGCTTGCTATCTGCTGCACTTAACTCCACGGATCAGTTGTCCCATTGAACTACATGTCTTCTGCTGGTGAAACCATAATCATTTGGGAGCTCTGAAATTTGGCTATAATATTCCTGGGAGTTGTCATTTTGGAATCTCTTTAAGGAGGTGATTGGTAGATTCTTTCAATTTCTATTTTACCCTCTGGTTCTAGGATAGTAGGGTAGATATCCTTGATAATTTCTTGAAATATCGTGTCTAAGCTCTTTTTTTGATCCTTTGTTTTGGGTAGTCCAGTAATTCTTAAATTATCTCTCCTCAATCTGTTTTCCAGGTCAGTTGTTTTTCCAATGAGATATTTCATATTTTCTTCTTTTTTTAAAAATTATTTTGATTTTATTTGCTTGCTTCTTGATGTCTCATGGGTTCATTAGCGTCCACTTACTCAACTCTAATCTTTAAGGAATTATTTTCTTCAGTGAGCCTTTGTGCCCCTTTTTCCACTTGGCCAATCCTCCAGTAGATTTTTGTATCTTTTTTTTTTTTAACATTTAGCCAATTCTGCTCTTTAAGGGATTATTCTCTTCAGTATTTTTTGTGCTTCCTTTTCTAATATGTTGACTTTTTCTTGCATCACTTTCATTTCTTTCCCTCATTTTCGTTTGCTTCTTTTATTTTTAAAATCCTTTTTGAAACATATGGAAGCGATTGTTGATAAATCAAAATAAATTAATAAAATAAATTAATTTAAAAAATAAAATCAAATCCTTTTTGAGCTCTTCCAGAGCCTGAGACCAATCCACATTTTCCTTTGAGGCTTTTCATGTAGCTGCTTTGATCTTTGATCTTCTCTTTTTCTGAGTTTGTTTTTGATCTTTCCTGTCACTACTTTGTCATTGTTGATATTTACTCATTTGTCAGCCTTTTTCTTGATTTTAGCTTTATTTTATAGTAGGGCTCTGTTCCCAGGGTTCAGGGGGTGCTGTCTGTCCCACACCTTAGATTTTTCATGCTGCTGTGTTCAGAGCTAGTTTGGGTGGGGGGCGAGGTCTATAAGTTTCAGTTCCTCCAAGGTGGTATGATCTAAGGAGAGGTGCGGTCACTGATCTCCTGGCCTGTACTCTGGTCTGTGAGCAACCATAAGTATTCTTTTCCACTCAGGAATTGTGACTAGGGTCTCTGTCCTGTGAGAGCTCCTCCTCAACTTGAGACTGTGATCCAGAACTGGGTATGAGCAATGCAACAGAGTCCTGCACCTAGTGCCGGCAAACAGTCTCCTGTTATCTACTTCTTACCAGTTTTCCAATGCCTTACCATATGTAGGCTGAGATCTCCGGAAGCTACAGTTGCCACTGATTCCATCATCCCAAGGACTAATGCTGGTTTTCTGGCACATGGCCTGAGCTGGAGTGCGCTTCATTCTCACCCTAGTGAGATAGACCTTTCTTGCCAACCTTCTAAGTTGTTGTGAGCTAGAAGATTGTTGGTTCTGTCACTCTAGAATTCATTTTGAGGTGTTATTTTAACATTGTTTGGAGAGAAATTTGGGAGAGCTCAGGTGAGTCCCTGCCTTTGCTCCTCACATCTTGGTTCTGCTTAATGGTGATTGGCATTTTAATCTCCTGCCCCATGGCTTACTCATCATCCCTATGACTTGCCATAGCAAAGCACCCTTCTCTAGCCATCACTTCACTAGGTTTGTTGTCTCCTTCTTGAGGGAATGTGCAGGCCTTGCTTGGTTTCACTTGAATTTATGTCTCTGGTACTTGCTAGCACTGTGCCTGGCACATAGCAAAGGATAAGGGACAGAGGACTAGACTTAAAAATTTCAGTGGCATAGAGGATATTCAAATGAGAAAACACCCTCCATGCAAGTTGGCACCTTCTGGTCTTAGAAGGTTATCTAGGGGCAGCTAGGTGGCGCAGTGGGTAGAACACTGGCCCTGAAGTCAGGAGGACCTGAGTTCTAATGTGGCCTCAGACCAAACACTTGACTCTTACTAGCTATGTGACCCTGGGCAAGTCACTTAACCCCAATTGCCTAAAAAAAAAATACTGATGATAAAACATATTGGGGCAGCTTGGTGGTGCAGTGAATAGAGCACCGGCCCTGGATTCAGGAGGACCCCAGTTCAAATCAGGCCTTGGACACATAATACTTAGTAGCTGTGTGACCCTGGGCAAGTCACTTAACCCCACTGCCTAGCCAAAAAAAAAAAAAGTTGTCTAGAGTACAAAGAGGCTATGACTTTTCCAGGACCACAACTTGATTTCACGTCTTCCTGGCTCCAAAGAGAGCTCTCTAGCCACTATGCCAGCCTGACACAGTAACCACCTAAGACATGCTTTTCCATTCATTCATTCAACAGTTCCTGCCCTCAAGAGGCCTACACTTTATAAGGAAGGATAAATGATGTAAAACAGAAAAGTATATGCATGATGATTTGAGGAGAGACAGAATACTAACAGCTGGGAGGATCAGAAAAGGAAGATTTCTTGGAAGAGGTGGCCCATGAACTAAGCCTTGAAGGAAGCTAAGGATTCAAAGAAGTGAGAAGAAAGGGCACTGTACGTGTGAGGAGCAGGCTGGGCAAAGGCAAAGAGGTGGGAAATGAGGTGTAGGATTCAGGGAGTGACATGTTTGGTAGGAATGAGGAGCACATGAAAACAAGAAATAGTGAACTCCTTCCCATCTCTTCCTTAACCACCTATAGAGGAGCTAGACTTCTGGGGCTCCACTTTTATTAGTCCAAGTTGCTGTTAGTCCTTCATTTTTTTTTTTTTGCTTTTTGGTGAGGCAATCAGGGTTAAATAACTTGCCCAGGGTCACAAAGCTAGTAAGTATTAAGTGTCTGAGGCTGGATTTGAACTTAGGTCCTCCTGACTCCAAAGCCAGAGCTCTATTCACTGTGCCACCTCGCTGCCCCTGTCCTTCCTTTTCAGAGGACAAATGACAACATTACAAGTGATGTCTTGACTCACGTGTGAATTGGATTTCAATGAGGCAGAGTTGCACAGTCATCAGCCTCTTCATCTCTTCCTGAGTCATCCAAGCCCAGTGGTGAGACAAAAGTCAGGATGACTAGCGATGTCCTGGAACAAGTGGACGACCTTGGTGTTTTTAATGTCTGACTGAGTTCTAAGCGCTCCACAGCCCCTACTTTAGCTGCCTTCATGGCCATTGGAACAAGTTGTTCTCATCCACCCATTCTGCCAGGGAAAGTCTTCATATGCTTGGGGTAGATCTCCACCCAACCAACAGGTTTGAGGCCTGTAGGTTACCTTCAACCTGGTTTAGCTCATCTGCCATGGCCAAGGTGTGGCCCCTATGCATGCTATGGCTTCTTGGAGCCACAGGTGAGAATTGGGTGAATCAGATAGGCACCAAAGGTGAATGAGCAGCTCTGAAAAGGGCATGGCAAGCTCTCACAACAGAAGTGCTAGTCCTCCTGAATGCCCCATACACCCCATTAGTCCAAGTATGCTCTATTAACACTCCCACTGCTTCTGGAAGCTGACTCAGAGTCTTGGGGAGCCTCCCCCCAATTTTTAGTTCCTAACCCACCCAAGGAAAAAAGCAGCGCTCTCTTCTCTCCTGTGACTTGTTTTCAAAACCTGGGACACCACTGCCATCTTCCTCCTATTCTCCCATCTCACCTCTTAAGGGTTACCATTTGAAGGTCTGAATGGGTGGGAGTCAATTTTTTCTTTCTTTTTGCCCTTTTTATATTGTGTGGGATAAAATATGAACTCAGGTCTTTCCACTTTGCCCAGTTTTTCTCAGTTCCCCATTCTGACAAAAAATAAATTTTAAATCAGAAATTACTTACTAGTCAGTAGATGATCAGGCTGGCCCGCACTCCCAAGAAATCCTTTTTTTTTTTAGTTGGTATTTTCTGTCTCTGTCACATCTTCTATCTCTATTATTAACTAAACACCCCAATCCCCAGGCTAAGAAAAGGTCTGATCACCCTGAATTAAGTGAACTCTTTTCTTCTTTCTTGTTATTGTATAGTTAATTCAATTCACCTTCTGTGACCCCATTTGGGGTTTTCTTGGCAGAGACACTAGAGTGGTTTTGCCATTTCCTTCTTCAGCTCCTTTTACAGATGAGGAAACTGAGGCAAACAGGGTGAAGTGACTTGCCCAGGGTCATACAGGTAGTAAGTGTCTGAGGCTAGATTTGGACTCATGAAGATGAGTCTTCTTACTTCCAAGCCCACTGAGCCAGGTGCCTTTCTTGATCCCCATAGCTGTTACTGCCTGCCCTCCCCAAACTTACTTGTATTTATTTGATATCTTCTCTCATTCTGCTTCCAACACCTAGAAGGAGGTCCCAGCATATTAGATGTTCTCTGCAGGATTGATGGGAGGATTTGGGCTAGAATGAGAAGTTGTATCTCTGTGCTGTCAAAGAGGCTAGCCTTATCAATGAGATAGGGAATGTCTAGGGAGTTATTCCCTTTCCTGATCCCCACTCAAGGTGGGCCCAATTTGTCATATCCTAATAACCTATCTCTAATATCCTTGTATTTATATAGGTGTATATTAGCTCCTTGAGGAAGGAGATCATTTCATTTTTGTTTTTCTTTAACATCAGCCCACACTGTGCCTGACACATTGTAGGCATTTAATAAATTAAAATGAATTTTTACCAGTTAATTGATTGCTACTGGTTGTTGCTATCTGGAAGTGCTGTAAAAAAATCCTCTCATAAAAGTGACAGTGAAAATTTATTTTTAATTCGGAGTTAACTTTACCAGATGGACTGCTGTCTTTGTCACATTACCCACCATGATAAGATTTTGATGTTCTTTCCTTCCTCCCTATTCTCTATTCTAAACTGTCTCTATTCCCACATCACTTAAATCCTTCAGTGAATTCTTCTCTTTCATGGAATTAATTCTTGCAATCACTTGTTGCATTTCCTGGGTCAGAAAGAAGGTAACCTAAGTAGATTTTAAAAACTTGACATGGAATCAAGAAAGACTGAGTTCAAATCTGGCCCCAGACACTAACTAGCTGTGTGACCTTGGGCAAGTTACTTAACCTTGTTTGCTTCAGTTTCCTCATCTGTAAAATGAGCTGGAGAAGGAAATGGCAAACCACTCCAGTATTTCTGCCAAGCATAGCTCTAGGATACACATATATACACAGAAAGTACTCCCTCTCATTAAATGAGAGGTGAAAGACTGGTGCCCCCCACAGTTGGGCAGCTGGCCAATGGGCCAGTTGGCCCAACTTGTGTAATCTCCTAAAGATGGCTCTGGGAGTTGATATTAACTCCTGGCCCTCTTTTGAGTCTCTTTAATGGTTATGTTCAAACGGATCCATTATCCATGGATGTGGAGACCCTTCAGCAGTATAGAGCCACCTCTTTTCATTCTTTGTGACTCTTGCCTATGCCCTCCCATCAAGCCTACCTAGAGAATCTATCTACCATGCTGGAGAGGCCTCCCTTTAGGTTTTTGATGTAGCTTGGCGTTGTGAAGAGGGTGCTGGATTTGGAGTCACAAAGACCTGAATTCATATCCTCTCTCAGGCATTTGTTGGCTCTGTGACCCTGGACAAGTACCTCTCCATCTCTGAGCCACAGTTTCCTCATCTACAAAATGAGGGGGTTGAACTTGATGGCTTTCCTACTCTAAATCTATGATCTTTTTTAAAAAGCATTCTTTGGTTACCAATACTCTCTCTACTTCCCATTTCTGATAATATAAATTTCTCATATAATATCTTTTGTGCCCTTTCTTGTGCTCCACCCTTTAGTCAAGAAAAGTAATTGGGATAGAGTAAGGAACAAGAATTCTCGGAGCTTATACAAGTAATCTTATTTTTTCTTTCTTTCTTTTTTATTTTTAGAAAATGTGTGTTCCAGTGTACTGTAAATACAAGTTTCATGACACTCCTGTTCATCAGACTCCAGGACAACCCTATGGAACACATATTTATTTTGATGATGTCAATGTAATTCTCCTAGGGGCATTGGACCCTCAGAATCTTCGTGAATACCTAGAAGGGCCACCAATGGAAGTTGAAATCCATGACCGAGATAGAAAAGAGGAGGCATGTGCAACTGAATCTTCTCTATTTGGGGACGATTTAGCTGATGCAAATCTGAGCAACATAAGTCATGTCACTTACGACGTCACTGAAAATCCATTAGAAGTCATTAAGAAGAAGTGGGATCCTTATGGGATCGCTAAGGTCAGTTTTGCTGATCTACTACTTGGCCAAAAGTTGATGGACTTGTCTGTGCCCATTCAGAGATGTAAACCTGATTCTTCTTACTTCCAAAAGGACAGAAAAGGACGTAGGAAAAGCTTTGGCGGTCATGAGCCAATGAATACTCTGCAGTCTACTCCAATGCCCATGGGCAACTACTTTGAATGCTCCTCATTGCTTCGATTGAGGATAGAATTATGTGTGCCTCTGAAGTTAGGAGGAGGCGTGGGTAAAGCTGCAAATGAACGTTTTGGGCGCATAATTTATATTTTTGATTCTTCAAAAACTGACTTCTTGAGGGCTCTCCTGAAGAGTATTGCTGAAATCAATGCCAGCGCTCTCCACTTGGAATCTTATCCTCCTCAAGATATTCAAGAGGTGCTCTCAGCCTTTAAGGTGAAACTTAAAGTAGAGACAAATCTAGACCAGGATGTGATTACTGGATTCCATTTGTTAGATGGACAAATTCACCTCTTTGTTCTGGAAGGGTTGGCAGAGCAAGGACTGAAGAGGCTGTGGGAAAGATATCCAAATCGGTAAGCAATTTTAATGATTTCTTTTCCCTTAAAAAAAATTAAAGGTTTTTTTTTGTTTTATTTGTTTGGTTTTCTAAGCCAAATTTGGACCTACCTTCAGTGTCTTCAGCTAATTAAATAAGACAGTAATGAATTCCTTCTAGAGTGTATTTGGAGGGGTTTAAGCTCTTTAGTCTGAGTACTTTAATAATACTAGTTCTACAATTCTCTCTTTAAAATGAACATAACTCATCTGCAATTCTTTTCTTCTCCAAAATTCAAAAAATGACGTGTCTTATTTTGGAGATTTTTTTTTAACAATGGTTTGCTTGGGATCCTCTGTTCACAGTTAGTATTATTAGCAATGACCTTATTAAAATGAAAAAAAGGTTATTTCTCTGTGGTAAATAGTAACACCAAGGCTAGTGTGCCATAAGCAGATACTGTAGTTAGTAAAATGGCTAGTACTTATGGGCAGGTAGACAGCACAATATATGACCCTGGGCAAGTCACTTAACCTTATTTGCCTCAGTTTCCTCATCTGCCATTTCCTTCTCCTGCTCATTTTACAGATGAGGGCACAAAGAGCTAGTAAGTGTCTGAGATTCAAACTCAGGAACATGAGTATATTCATGTAGTGCTTATGACTTTCAAAGCACTTTCTTATATATTATTTTAATTGCCTCCTACAGTATGTCGTTTGTATGCTTTGGGTATCATAAATGAAAGGAAGGCTGAGTTGTTTTCACTTGACACTTAAAGTCCTTGTGTTTAAAGTTTGTTTATAGAATCATGAGATTTTAGAGTTATTGTCCTCTCTTCTCCACTGAGGTCTTACTCCTATACCTCTTTCTGATATCAAGGTGACAGCGTTCTTGAAAGCTATGCTGAAAGAAACAAGCTGCCAAGCAGGGCAGCTTCACCCATGAGCTCAGTGATGGCATATGCATCCTGTCGTCCATTGTCCAATAGCCCTGCATTTGAAGGAAGCTCGTTTTGGCCAAAGCAACTCATGAGCAGTGTTAGTGGAGGGGTTACCCAGGGAGATAACATTGTGGAGCTTTTCACATATTAAAGTAAGGTGCCTAGACACTTTGATTCAACCCCTACACTTTACAGATGATGAAACTGAGTTTCCAGAGAATGCAAGTCATTTGTCCAAGGCCCAGGAGGAGTTCATAGTTGAGCTAGTTTCAGAAGTCAGGTATCCTGATTCTTGGGCTAAAGTTCTAACAAAGCACCACTGGACTTAACCCACTCCTCTTCCAAACATCCCAACTACTCAAAATAAATCCACTCCAATGCCAAAATGGCTGTCAAAATAAAATAACACACTAAAGATTGAGAGTTGTAAGGGAAATTTTTTTCCTCCTCTTGCTAATTATAAAATAATAGCATTTCTATAGTGCTTTAACATTTGCAAAATTTATTTTACAAATCTTATCTCATTTGCTTCTCACAACAGCCTTGGGAGGTAGGTGCTATTATTATCCCCATTTACAGCTGAGGAAACTGAGGCACAGGGTCACACTGCTAGCAAGGGTCTGTCTACTGACCTTCTTCATTACCTACTATAACCAAACAATTCATACAGCCTGTGGAGTATGTGTTTTATTTAATTGAATGTTATCTAAGGACTAGGCTGAAAGGGGCAGCTTTATATAGTAGAGAGGACACTAAATTTGCAGTACAAAGACTTGGGGTCAAGTTTCTAGGTCTACTGCTTGCTTGTCATGTGACCCATGGGGTTATGGGAGTCACTTAATTGCTCTGAGCCTGTTTCTTCACTGGTAATTGACAGGGAATTGGCATTGACATTGGGGGCGTTGGCAAGGAAGTGCTTTATGAATTCTCAGCTATAAATGTGAGCTGCTTTTATTATTAGAACAAGTTCCATGTTCATGAATCATCTTCTGTTCATGTTTCCAACAAGCTAACTGTCGATTTAGCTAAGCTTGGAATTAAAGTCCTTGGCCACAAGACAAGTTGGCTCTTCTGTACCGGTTCAAAATGGCCCCTTGGCCATAGGACATAGTGGTCTATAAATTACTGTTTGTGATACTCCAGCTAATAAACTAATAGCTACTAAAGCTAGAAACAGCCCTCAATTCAGACATGACCATTCATTCCTGAAAGGTGAGGTTCAAGTACACTGTCAGATAATTTAGACAAAGATTTTCATGAATTTGTATAAATAGTTCATTAAAGTGCAGAAGACCATTATTTTTAGAGAGGAGTATTGAAAACACTTGAGCAAAATTCTCCAAGGTTGACTTACTTTTTATACAAAGTATGTGGTCAAAATCACAGAAAAGCAAAAAAACAAAATTTGGAAAAGAAAGAATCTATTATAACCAATCAGATAAAACATTCAGTACCTACTATGGGCAGTGTAATCTCCTGAAGTGTAACTAATAAAAAGGAGACTTTAAAGAAATGACCCAATGATCATCACTATTCAGAGGCAACTAGATGGTGGATAGAGTGCTGGACCTGCACTCAAGAAGACCTGAGTTCAAATTTAGCTTCAAACACTTATTAGCTGTGTGACCTGGAGCAAGTCACATAACTACAGCCTGCCTCAGTTTCCTCATTTGTAAAATGGAGGGTAATTGAAGTCTCTAAAATGAGAATAATAATAGCACCTATCTTACAGGGCTGTTGTGAGTATAAACTGAGATAAAATTTGTCAAGTGCTTTGCAAACCTTAAAACAACACATAAATGCTATTTTATTGTTGTTGTTGTTATCATTATTATAACTATTGTGGTCTTCTGTTACAGTGCACCAGGTTCAGAAGAAGGAAAGTTTCAAGTTTTTTATAACTCGGAGTTAACATTTCATAAACGTCTGTATATGGATCTGGATGCGATGTTATACCAAGTCCATCTCTGCAAACCTCTTTCAGCTTTAGTGAAACAGTCAATGATTTTTGTCAGAGGACTGATTCCTCAACCGTCCTTTCAAGCCCTGATAAAGTTAGAATCCATTCTGTTATGTTTTACCTTAAACTGACTGCTAGAATACAAGAGCAGCTTAAGCGTCTTCTTGAAATAATTGCAAATTTTCTTAAATTTTTAATAAAAATATTTCTAAGGAACATGCCCTTGCTAGTGTTAGAGAAAGAGATAGGAATTCTAGAGATTGTCTAGTCTGTTTCCAATTCTGTGGATGAATCCTTTTCCCATCATCACTAACAAGGGATCAGTCAGTCCCTGCTTGTGCAGAGACAGTGATGAGGCCACTTATTCCACTGTTGGGACAGCCTAACTTGTTAGGAATCTTTTAGCTGTGATGTGCTAAAATCTTCCATACACCTGCCTTACTTTTCCCAGCTATAGCCAAATGGAGTAAATCCTGATTGTTGATGTTCAGTTGTTTTAGTCATGTCCAACTCTTCCTGACACCATCTGAGGTTTTCTTGGCAAAGATACTAGAGTGGTCTGCCATCTCCTTCTCCAACTCCAACATTTCTTTTTTACAGATGAGGAAACTGAGGTAAACAGGGTTAAGTGAATTGTCTATAGTCACACAGCTAGTAAGTGTTTGAGGCTGGATTTGAACTCATGAAGGCGAGTCTTCCTGATCCCAAGCCCAGTGTTCTATCCACTGCACCATTTAGCTGCCCTTTGACCCGATAGACCTTCAGATATTTGAAGTTAGAAATTCTGTCTCCTTAAGTCTTTTCTTTAGCAAGAAAGATTGTCTTTAGGAACTTCCTAACAAGTAGAGCTGTCCAACAGGAACAGGCCACCTCATCCCAATCAGAAAATGGACCCCCGACCCTTGAACCAATCCTTGTGGGGCATGGTTGATTTCCAAGGTGCTTCTATGGATAACCTCTAGCTTCTTAGTCTCCCTCTTAGACTGTAGCTCCCAGGACTGAATATAACCACAAAACAGAGTAGATGAGCTTTGGGAATGCTTGGATGAATCAGTGCCAGAGTTGTTCTGTTTAAGTCAGTTATCTGTGGTATCAGTGGACAGGGAGAGTCTGTATACACAGATAATCCAGACTCTTGATCACTTTCTCTGCTTGTCTTTGCCTGTCTCTCTCAGAAAGGATTTAGTACAGGTTGGTCACAATGGAGTGGTCAGGGTTGAAGGACTTGTCTTTGCCCAGATTCCTGAGCAAAGAGTTTTGATAATTCATAACCTGAAAGGTTCAAGTAGAGTTGAGAATTAACTGTAACTACAAGTAATGTCATCCTCATGATGGAAAATGCTATCCACATCCAGAGAAAGAACGATGGAGTCTGAATGCAGATCAAAGCCTACTATTTTCACTTTTTTTGTTGTTTTTTGTTTTTTCTTTCTTGTGGTTTTCCCCTTTTGTTCTGATTCTTCTTTCACAACATGACTAATGTGGAAATATATTTAATACGATTGTACATGTATAACCTAAAAAAAACCCCAAGTAATGTCATCATCCCTTTCATCACATCTGGAAGGCAAGCCGCTATAAGATAATTTATTGTAAGAGTAGAATCCATAGGGTAGGGTAAAAAGTAAAAACTCTATCTTCAGAATTCACTTCAGTATTTTCAATTATATTTAATGTACATGTGTCTTGTATCCATTTTTTTTTCATTAAGAGACAAACATTTCAAAGAGATATATCCACTCTCATTCATTCATTCAGCTGGAATACTGAGACTCATGCTACTGTAGGAGATAGATGAGAAAAAATGTAAGGCATGACCATTTCTTCCAGAAGCTTACAATAGGGTTCATTCTGACATGTTCAGTGAAAGTACAAGACAGTGTTTTAGTGAATCCTCAAATGAGTGACACAGACAGTAAGTGCTGCATGCATTGTGAGAAGGAAGAAGGTCACAGCATTGGTGTATTTGGAGCAGGCCTTGTAGAGGAGGTGAGACCTCAGGTGGCTCTTGAAGGTTGTGCAGAATTTGGAGAGATGGAAGGGAGAGGGATGATCATGGCTTGTTCAGAGGAAAGTGAGAATCCACCAGGCTGAAATGGAGGCTTCTTGTTGGGGAGAAATGGAAGATAAAGTTGACTAGGTAGCGTGGGGTCAGATTCTGAGTAGCCTTGAATGCTTGGCCGAGGACTTTGGAATTTATCCTGTAGCTACTAGGGGATTTTTAGCAAGGGACTGACAAGATGAAATTTGGCATTGGTCTTGTATTTGAAAGAGAAAGACTGAAGGTGGTGAAGAGAAGAGTCAGAAGTTGATTGCGGTTGCTATGGTCCAAATGTAAAGTGAGAAGTACCTAGGTTACAGTGGTGAGAAGAAAGAGGAAGGAATGAATTCAAGAAAAAAAATGAAGTATGAATCGATAGAACTTAGTAAATATACATAGAGGACAAAGGAAAAAGAAGTATTCAAGATCTTATCTCCTCCCATTTCCTTTAGAACCTTGTTTTCATCTATCATCCCCTGATTCATCATCAGTCTTTCTTTTTCAATAACTCTTTTTCTCTCTTCCCAGGAATATGATAGTAAATGTTTAACAATCAGCTTTCTGAAAAAAAATGTACATAAGATGAATTATTAAAATTTTCTCCATCACCATCTTAAGTCTAGAAATCAACAAAACAGTAAATCAAGGCTTGATCTGTAGTTGGCTGATTTTGGAGGTATAAATGTTCGCACTGAAAATTTAACAGTCGGTTTTCCGGAACCAGTTGGAACTGGCTCCGGCACTCCCCTGCCAATCTCTAAAATTTTAAATTTGTATTTCTCTTGCCCTGTGCAACTATATTTCTAGAAGAATTAGCTTCAGCTTCACCAAACAGTCACTACTCACCTCGCCTGAAATCTGGTATCTGTCTTTGCTACTGTTTGAAACCACTCATTCTGAGGTCTTGCATAGCTTCTTAACTGTCCGATTCAATTGCCTTTCTTTAATCCTCATCCTCTTTGACCTTTCTACAACTGATACTGTTAATTACCCCCCCCCCCTTTTTATTCTCTTCTCACTTAACTTTACAGAATCATAGAATTTCAGAGTTGAAGGGGACCTTTTTGTTTAACCCATACTTACTGAAAAAGGAGCCCTTCTACAGCATGGCGGACAAAGGATCCTGGAGCCTTTATTTGTTGTTGTTTGTCCTTCGCTTTCCAAGAGGACCACTGACATCACAGGGTGATTTCTTGACTCTTAAAGACAGTCTTAAAGCTACTACCTTCCAGGGCAGTCCATTCAGCTCTTGAATAGCTCTAATTATTTAAAAAAAATTTTTGAATAAGTTAAATTTTTTCCTAATTACATGTAAAAGCAATTTTTAACATTTAAAAAAAATTTTGAGTTCCAAATTCTCTCCCTCCTTCCCTCCCTCCTCTCCCCCCCTCTGACAGGGTAAGCAATTTGGTATAGGTTATACATGTGCAATCGTGTAAAACAGATTTCCATATTAGTCATGTTGTGAAAGAAAACACAGACTGAAAAAAAACCCACCACAAAAAAATAATAAAGTGAAAAATAGTATGCTTCGATCTGCATTCTAACTCTGTCAGTCCTTTCTCTGGAGGTGGATAGCATTTTTCATCATGGGTCCTTTGGAATTGTCTTGGATCAATGTATTGCTGAGAATAATCTAGAATTTTTTTTACAACATGCTTAAATTTCTCTCTTTGCAACTTCCATTCTTACTCCTAGTTTTCTTCTGGGACCAAGCAGCACAAGTCTGTTTCTTCTAAACAATAACTCTTTAAGTACTAAAAAAAAAAAAATAGAATCTATCCTGAATCTTCTCTTCTTCAGTCTAAATGTCTCTGATCCCTTCGACTGATCCTCATATGGTGCCACCCTTGACTATCCTGGTTGTCATCCTTTGGAAGCTCTCTGATTTATCAGGTTTTTTTTTTTATGTTATTCTTAGACTGAATATAAGACTAATATATGTATGCTGCTCCCCTGATTTTCCTCTGCTACCAGCATGACTTCTTTTCTGGTTTAGCTGCTGCTTCTTGCCTCCCTTAGAAGCTTCATCCACTTCCGTGTCTTCATTTATCACCTCTAAGCAGTTAACTTTCATTCCTATACACAGGCACACACACACACATGTGCACATATACACATACATATATGCACTTATGTATGTGTATCTATATGTATCACCTGTATTGTGTATTATATACACATGTGTGTACCTATATAGGTACCTGTATATATACATCTGTATGGAGGCATGTGATACACACGTGCATGTGTGCACATGTATATGTACATGCATGTGTATGTGTGTTCATATGTGCACACACACATATGTGCATGTGTGTGTGTGTGTGTAGTCTTAACATCTCTGAGTTCCAGTCCTCTAATTGCAACTTACTGGTGGATATCACGCAGAAACCCTACCAGCACATCAAACTTAACACACCCGAACTTAAAAATGAGGGTAAAGACAAAAACTTCCCCCATAGATCTACCGTGGCTGGGACTATAGAGAACAGAATGGAAGAATAGGAGAGGACCAGTAATTCATGAGAGACATTATACAAAAAATAAGTCCCATGTAAAAACCATGACTTCAGATGTCTATATACAAATGTACAAAGTATTGTAATAAACAGGGTAGAGATCGTAGAACAAAGAGGTAAAATTTGACCTCGTAGGTATGCCACTGGGATTTGGCATATATGACTTATGACCAGAACGTGACTCTAGAAGAATGTGATATATTTAAGCGCACCAGAATAGGGGGAAAAAAGGGGAAGAACAGAGTTGTTCATTAAGAAGATAGACTCATGCGAGGAAATGCAGGAACATGAAGCATTTGAGTGAGGGTCAGCAAATGATACTGTCATTGGAATCGGCTGCAGATCACTTGAACAGAAGAATTAATTAGACGGAGATTTTGGGAAAGAGATTACAAAATTCCCATGAAAGCAGGGTATGGCAGGATATCTGAACATTTGCTGGAGTGCTTTTCTCAATTCATTCACTGAACAGATAAATGAACAAATCACACAGTCATTCAACTAGGAATTGGAAGAGTAATATTCAACTACTGGATGCATTCATTTATTTAACAAACATATACTGAGCTTTTCTGCAAGGCACCATTTTAGGAACTATGGAAGGTGGTGGTTATCAAACTCTATAAATATTGTCTTTACTCAAGTATATTACACTCTTTTTGGAGGTCAGTGTATTAACCTTGACTATATTGAAATTATGTTTGTATTTTACATACTTGCATGTAATTGAACTCATATCTCCACCCACTCATAAATCATATTTTCACTGGCTGACTTTGCTATGGTGTGGGATAGGGGTTCTGGAGAAAAGTAAGGGGGAAATAGACACATTCTGCTTTCATACCCTTTAAGAAGCCCCAGAACCATGTGTGTGTGAATTACAAAGCCACTGATGACAAAAGGAAGAGAGCTTTTTTTTTAGGGGTGTGGTGGTGGGGATGTTTAGGGGGGAATTCCTGTTCTAGCATGAAGATGATTGAAGAGCTGTCCCAATAATCTCTTGTAGGCTTGACTCCATCTGTCACAGCAACAAACTCAGGGATATCATAGAAGGAGATCTGTTGCCTTCAGCAGAAATGGTAAAATGCATGAGCCAAGAGTTTGGGGTTCCTGTGAGTAGGTCAGAGTTATTAATCCCAAGTCCACTGGAGAAAGTGCCATCTACTATTTTAAAGGTAGAAGGGCCAAGAAAAGAAATACACAGCTGTTTTTCCCTAATCAAATTACATGAAGAAAATTATCTACAGTGGAAAAAGGACATGGAGCTGAAACGGTCCATAGCACCAACCTTCATTCAGGTAGGTACTACCTGCTACTACTGAATTAAAGCTACCATCAGCATCATGCCTTCATATTTCTGCTAAGCCCATTAAAAAGAAAGTTTTGTTGGTACCTTTTATTTTTATATCAGTTTCTTTCTTTCTTTTTTTTTTTAAGGCAATTGGGGTTAGGTGACCTGCCCAGTGTCACACAGCTAGTGAGTGTCTGAGGTCAGATTTGAACTTAGTTCCTCCTGAGTCCAGGGCTGGTTCTCTAACCACTGCACCACTTGGCTGCCCCTTATATCAATTAATTCTTGAGGGAGAAAAACACCCTCCTTCTTACCCATCACTTAATCCCCATTTTGAAATTTAATCCCTCCTTGTAACAAAGAAAAAAAGTCACGCAAAAACACCCAGTGCAAGGACTTTATCAATGTTTGCAACATTCTACCCTTGTAGTCCCCCAACTCTCTGTCAAGAAGAGGGAAGGCTATTTCTTTATCTGGTCTCTGGGATCGTTATTGAATTGAATTGATTTCCTTTTAGTGATCTTTTTATTTAGAGCACATTGTTGTAGTCATTTTATATATATATATATATATGTATGTATATGTATGTATTGGTTTTTTAATTATTTTTGGTTCTTATTTCATTTGTCATTGTGCATAGATATTATCATGTTTCTTATAATTGTTCATATTCATTATTTCTTACTGCATAATATTTCATTACCTACACATATAATCATTTATTTAGCCATTCCACAATTAAAAAGAATATCTTCTTTATTTACAGTTCTTTGTTACCCCAATGAATGCTGCGGTGAATATATATTATGGTGTCTTTTCTGTCTTTTCTGTCTTTATCCTCCCTGGCATAGTGGATCATCTGGGTCAGAGATTAGGACGATTCATAGCTCCAGTATATTAGTGTCTCTGTCTTATTATTGTCCTTCTAACCTCACCTATTCTCATTTTTGGACATCTTTGTCAGTTTTCAAGGTATAAGGCAAAACCTTAGAATTGTTTTAATTTGCATTTCTTGTATTAGTGATTTGTAGCAATTTTTTTCTTTTTTCTTTTCTTTTTTTTTGGGGGGGGGTTAGGCAATGGGGGTTAAATGACTTGCCCAGGGTCACACAGCTAGTAAGTGTCAAGCGTTTGGTCTGAGGCAGCATTTGAACTCAGGTCCTCCTAACTTCAGGGCCAGTGCTCTATTCACTGTGCCACCTAGCTGCCCCTGTAGCATTTTTTCACATGGTCATTTATATCATTGACAATTCTTTTGAAAACTGTTCGTGTCTTTTGATTTGTGATCTATTGGGGACTGGCTCTTATTTGTGCCAGTTCCCTGTGTATCATGGATATTATGCTAATACCAGTGTTATTTGTTGCGAAGATTTTTTTCCCTTGTTTTTATTGTCTTAATTGATTTTATTTGTATGAAAAGCTTTTTATTTTTATGCAATAAAAATTATTTGTTTTGATTGCCTCTTTCTCTTTTATTGATTAAGAATTGTTCACTTAAATATAAATGTGAGAAGTATCTCTTTCCCTTCTCCTTTAACTGCTTTATAATATGAACTTTATATTCAGGTCTCATACCCACACTTTATTTATTTCTTTAATTTATTTTTAATTAATTTCTTTAATTTTTATTTAATTATTTTATTTACTTAATTTTAATTAATTGATTAATTTATGGATTTAAAATGACTCCACTTGAGATTATAGACTCTTTGTTACTCTAAATAAATAATGTTATTATTTTTGTCTAATTTTATGAAGTATCCCCTTGGTAATTTGATTGGCATAATATCAAAATTTATAAATTAAAATAGTTTCATCATTTTTATTAAATTAGCACAACCAAACCATGAAACATCTTTACAATTCTTTATCTTCTCTTATTGCTATAAAGAGCATTTTGTAGTTAGATTTATGTAAATCTCCAAAGTGTCTTAGTAAGTTAGATCCCGAATGTGCATTTTGTAGTTATTTGGGTAAAATTTTTCTTATTTATTTCTCCTGGGTTTTGTTACTACTGTATAGAAATGCTGATGATTTTTGTGGATTTACTTTAAGTCATACTCTAATGAAATTATTAATGATCTCAATTTCTTTTCTGGTTCTCTGGTTTTTTTCTAATTACAGCATCCAGTCTCCTGCAAATAGGAACCATTTTGGCTCTACTTTGTCGATGTTCATAGCTTTAATTTCATGATCTTTTTATTTCTATAGCTAGAATTTCTGGACCTATGTCAACATTAGGAGGGGAACACCTTTTTTGTACTGAAATAGCTTCTAGTTTTTCTCCATGACAAATAATGCTTACTTTCCATTTTAGATCGTGTTAAAGAAGGGCCCTTCCATATCTGTACATTTTATGGTTTTTTACATAAACAAATGAAAAAAAAATTGGTTAAACTCCTGATATATGTCAGGCACTATACTAGGCACTGATGATACAGAGGAGAAAGTCAGATAGTCCCTACCCTCAAGTAGCCTATATTCTAATAAAGGAGCAGGAAGAGCAACACAGTGAGAAGGGAAGGACTTTTTGTCTGTGGGTCATAGAAATGGCATGTACAATGAAAGGGCAATCCATTGTCATACCCTATACCCTAGGTGGCGCAGTGCTTAGAGTTCTGGCCTTGGAGTCAGGAGGACCTGAGTTCAAATGTGACCTCAGATACTTGACACCTCCTTGCTGTGTAACCTTGGACAAGTCACTTAACTCTGATTGCCTCACCAAAAAAGAATATGTGTATATAATGGACTCAGTGCAGATCAAAGCATATTTTTTCACTTACTTTATTCTTCTCATGATTTTATTTACTTTTGATCTGTCTATTCTTCCACAATTTTGACAAATATGGAAGTGTTTTACATGATAGCACATATATAAACTATGTCAAACTGCCCACCATTTTCAGAAGAAGGAAGAGGAGGAAAGGAAGGAGAAAAAACTCAAAATCTTCTAAAAATAAATGCTAAAAATGTTCTTAATATGTATGTGGGGGGAAAATAAAATATTATTTAAATTAAAAAAACAAAAAAGAAAACGAATATGTATATGTAGTGTTGGATATTTCTTTTTCTTTTTTTTTTTTAGGCAGTTGAGGTTAGGTGACTTGTCCAGGGTCACACAGCTAGTGAGTGTCTGAGGCCAGATCTGAACCCAGGAAGAGGGGTCTTACTGATTCCAAGCCCAGTATGCTATCCACTGCACCACCTAGCTGCCCCATGGCATTGGATATTTCAAACTCTATATTTTGTAAGGAATCTCAGCCTCCACATGTCCCAAGCTGATCTTGTCTTTCTGCCCCCAAATAGACTCTCACCTTCCCCTGATACCCTGCTCCCTCTCCCCACTTCCCAGCTTCCTTATTTCTGTTAAGGGTGTCACCATCTTTTTAGGTACTCAGGATCTCAATCTAGAACACTGGTTATTCTTCACTCCTCACTTTCTTTCACCCCATATAGCCAGTCAGTTGCCAAATCTTGTCAATTCTACTTCAATGATATCTCTCACAACAATTTTCTTATCTCTGCTACTGTCAAGTTCACCATTCTAGCGCATCCTCATCACCTCTTAGTTGACTATTGCAAATAATTGCCTAATTGGTCTTCCTACCCCAAGCCTCTCCCTCTCCCATCCATTCTCCACACCACTGCCAAAGTGATTTTTTACTCAAGTGTAGGCCTGACCACGTCGGTTCTCCTTGTCTCTAGATTCAAATACTAGCTCACCTATTTAGCTTTTAAAACTCTTCACAACTTGAGCCCAGCATACCTTTCTGACCTTTTCACCTGTTCCCTCACCCTCTGACTGTGGATGGTTTGGGGATCTTTTTTTGCCAAGTTGCACAACCTCTCTCTTGCTTGGCTGCCAGATTTTCTTCTTAGTGGGTTCCTGACCAGATTGCCGCCCTTCATCCCCAGCATCTATAGATCTAAGCCTTGTCTGTCTGCCTCTATACTGATCTTGTCTAGAAAAATGACTCACTGTAATTTTTTTTGGGGGGGGGCAAGGTTGCCATCAGTATTTGGTTTGGTTCCTAGATCTGTTTGGAGGAGTTTTGGGGAAGAGCTTGCTGTTCCATTTTCCTGTTACGTCACCATCTTGGCTTTGGTTGGAATCAGGAAGAATCCTCTTCATGAGTCAAATCTGGTCTCAGACACTTAGTAGCTGTGTGACCTTAAACAAGTTGCTTAACCCTGTTTGCCTCAGCTCCTCATCTGTAACATGAGTTGGAGAAGGAAATGGCAGACCCCTCTATTATCTTTGCCAAGGAAACCCCAAATGGGATCATGAAAAGTAAACATGTAATTTGTAATAGGTATAAATTATATATATTAATAGTAATATAGTAATATAAATAATAGTAAATAATAGTTATCATGGTAGCCTTGGAGTGGAAATATATTATGTAGATGATGATAAAAACTTAAGCCCTGGATTGATGAGTTCCTGGCATATTGTTTCAGAAAAACTTTTTTAGAGCATCTCTAGTGAAAAGGACCTCCCGGCGGCCTGAAGTGAAAACAATCAGAATTATTCCTGCTGATAAGAAGTCTGTATATAACTACAGCATTCAGACTTTGAACTCGGGGGAGCTTGCAAAGCAGCAATTGATTGCGCAGATGGACAAGGTGAGTGCAGCCCACTTCCTGCTGATACTAGGTGTTTGTGTAGGTAACACCCGGATTGGGAATCGGGAATCACTTTCCCTCCCTTGCCTGCTCACACCCAGAGGCTTGCTGGCCATCGAAAGCCTTTTCAGTTACTGTGGCTAAAAATAATTCCATATTTCCTAAGTTTTTTAGAGATAGAGTGGAAAGGAATTACAACTTCTTGAACTTTCTGCAGATCCCCACCTAACAGGACTATAATTAGAAGGAACTAACTCATTTATCTGAATCTAGATGGAAAAAACCCCACCGCCATTGCCTTGAGTCAATTCTACTGGATTGAACTACGTCATTTTCCAAAGGCTTTTTTGTTTGTTTGTTTGTTTGTTTTTTAATTTGGTTACATTCTTTACAGGAACGAGGGAAAAGGTTCACTTACTCTCAAAAATACCTCGCATCCCTTCCAGAACCTTTGGGTCTCACCCACCAAATACCCAAATCAAAGTTCTGGCTTACTCCAGAAGGATTTCAAGTTCCTGGAAATCAGACTAGTTTTGAAAGTAACCAACACCCCAAGAGTCCAGATCCGAATCGGGTAGAAGAATTAAAAGAGGTAATATTTTGTTAGGCAAATTAATTCACGTGCAGGGATTGATTTCCTCATCCATATCAACAACATTTCTTCCTATCTTTTTTTTCTTTCCATTTTAGTCATGGCAGGAGAATAGGCTATTTGCTAATATCTTGAAGCCTGTCCTTGATAGGGACAGGATGAGCTGGGAGCAGAGGCATTTGGATTTCGACATTTACAAGAAGCCACCCTCTACTATACGTCTTCCTGATGAAAAATTTTCCATAAGAGGTAAAAAAAGAAACAAACCGTTTCAATGTTCCTTCATGCTTTCCCCAGGTTTAGATAATATCTGCTATTTATGAAATCCTTTAAAGGTTGCTGAGCACTCTGCATGCCTTATCATGGGAGTCCCACAGCATCCTTGCAAAGTACGGACTAAAGGTATGATTTTTAATCTATCCATCCTTTTCTTAAAAGATGAGGAAACTAACCCAGAGATTAAATGACTTGCCCCTGGTGATACATCTGGTATCAAGAGGGGGGATTTGTTTAAATCTTCTTGAATCAACACCTATCCCCTTTACTCTTGTCTTTGTACTCAAATTGCTTGTTGAGATATTTTTGTCTTAGTATTTTTATTCACTTTGATATATTCAACAAATCCTATGACATAAGGAAACAAGGACCTCAAGAAATAAAGTGACTTGTTTGCTAACAGCAAGTTAGTGACAGACTAGAAGCTGTGTGTCCTGAAGTCCATGGTGGCCTGGTAGCACGTTGCCATAATTATTCTAAAACTCAAAAAGGTAGTTAAGGCGAGTCTTGCATTGGGGGGTGGGAGGCTAGTCCTCTACAATTCTGTGTGTGGAATAAATTTATATTGGGAAAGCAAGTGTGGCAAACCAGACATAAGGTGATGAAAATCTGGTCTAGGGTATGGCCGTTAACAGTCAAAGAGACATTTTGGGAAAAGGAGCAATCCAATTTAGTGGTGGATTGATATGGGAGGATTTGATAATTGGGTTATAAAGACTGTGGGAGGGTCTGTGTCATGGGCTGATCTATGGCCAAAGAGGTTCCTTAAATCCCATTAATATATGCCAAGCATTTAGCGTAGTGCCAGATATATGGTAGGGGCTTAATAAATACTTGTTCTGTTCCCACTAATCGTGATACCCAAATAGTTCTGTGAGCCCATTGATTGGGGTGATCCCTCCAGTAATGCAGATTACAAGCCATCGATGTCTGTTCACCCTGTGCCTATGCCCTCCCATGTATCTGCCATAAGAGATCCCAAGCCATGAGCCCTTTCTCCTTTCTCCTGACACTATGAGGATACCACAAAGCCTCAGATCTGATTTTCTTTGCTTCTGTCATGTGATCCATCAGTCCAATCTTCATTAATGGCCTTAGTTAGTTTTTTCCTTTCCGATCCTCAGTCAGTCTGTGAGCATTTATTTAAGTAGTGTCTTGTACGAGGCACTATGTTGGGGATACAAAGAAAGGCAAAAACAGTCCCTACCCCCGAGAAGTTTACATTCTAATGTGGAAGATAGCAGCATACTAGATGGAAGGTAGTCATCTCAAAGGGGAAGACAATAGCAGCAGGGGTGACTTTGGAAAGGACTGTCATATGTGAAAGACAGCAATGCCCAATGTAACTGGGTTATAGATTATGTGGAGGGGTGAGTAAAGTGTAGAACTAGAAAGGTAGGAAGTAGCCTGTCATGAAGAACTTTAAATGGCTTGCTGTGGGCCAACAGCTGGTGGAACTGGGGAGGAGCAGGTTAATGCCTTACGATATCATTCCCACAATATCAGGCTGGGTCTGTTGAGAACTAGGATATTGTGAAGCAGCTCTGGGGCAGTTTGGACTAACCACCTGCAGGTGGAATGATCTGGAACCTTGACTTTTGGTCAAGAAGAACATGAGAGCAGTTTTTAAAAAGGACTTGGGTGGAGAGCCTCTGAGGCTTCAGGGAAACTTCCTAACTACTTTTTTTTGGTGGGGGTGGATATATTCTGCCTGTGGGTATTGGAATGTTCATAGTAAAAAGACTTTGTCTGAACTCTCTGGCTGTGAGTTTTCCATTAGGGTCCAGGCAAGAAGAATGAGGATCTGAACTAGAATGGGGGTGACAGGGGAGAGAAGACATATCCAAAAGGTGTTGTGAAGGTAGAAATGACCAGTCTGGGCAGTGGATTGGACACGTAGGGTGAATGCAAGGGAGAGTCTGAGGGTGACCCTGGTGTTGTGACCCTGCGTGACTTGGAGGATATGGTATCCTTCACAATCGTAGGGAATTTCAGGAAAGTTGGGGGAGGGTAGGGAAGTGATGCCTTTTTTGGGGATCTGTTGAGTTTGGGATGCCTACAGGACATCCTGCCACCAAGGATATTGGTTTAAGTGTAATCAGATGCTGCCGAACCTATTTATAGAGATATTTAGAAATATGTAAATAAGCATTTTCATTGTCTATGGAAATGACTGGACTGTTTTTCAAAGAAATTTGTTTTGTTGGTTGGTTAGATATTTTTTTTTCCAGAGACTATTTCCAGAGAGCTCAAGCAGCTCATTAAATCCTGTTCTAGAAATAGATGTAATTTCACAGATGCTTCATTTCACTTGGAATGGTTTTCTTAAAGACTGAAAGCAAGTTTAAAGAGGACAATTTAGTAGGACAGACACACACACACACACACACACACACACACAACACACACACACACACACACAAAACAAAACCAAACCTCTGAGAACACAGAAGGCTATCTTTCTGTCCTGTCCATGATTTGATTTGCAAAACGTAAGGAAGCTAGTCAATGGCATAATTATCCTGATAAACACCTGCCTTGAATTATCAATTAATTTCCTAGCTTTGGCTCTTTGATTGTGGCTTACAGTCTCCAGGACAAAGCCAGCCATGCATATAGTTCGGAGTGCTCTGACATCATTTGAAAACCGTTGCCAATGCTCCCTAGATTGACCATTGTGACAAAGTACCAGGATGCTGGCATTCCCGCACTTCATCACTCACCATGCGGTCCCAAAGTTTGTGATGAAATCTCCAAACTGCAAGAGGAAAAAAAAAATCTCACAACTCATCCCACACCCTCTCTTTCCAAGGAATGTGATGTGAGATGTGTGTCCATTGATGTATAAAGCTTCCTAAGTGGTCTTTACTTAAGTTTTTGGGGGGGCCTAAATAGCCAGCATATTTAATTGAAACCCTGAGTAATCAATGGAAAATAAATGGAAAAGCATAATGGATTTTCTCATCTCCATGTATTAGAACATAAATGCAGGAATGGTAAAGAGGCATGCAAGAAAGAGGAGGGTTTGGGTACCTGTAGCTGACAGAATGAGAGAGTAGATTTATTCCGTGGCTACTAAAAAAACCATAGCCTGCAGGTGAATAGAAACATAATTCACCAGCATAGCACGGAATATTGTAAGTTTTTCCAAGGGGAAAAAAAAATCAAACACATTCTTGCTGATAGATGTAGCTCCCCAGCAGTCAGGCCAAATTTAGAGGGAAAGCAGAGCCTGCTGTCAGATGGACCTGACAACCAACTTTGGAGCTGGCCGACTCCTTCAATGAATGATGTAACTCTATCACAATGATGTGGTCTTCCCCGCCATTTGTGTATATCCATCTGGTGTGGTATAGCATATTTCAAGGGCCACAAATACTGCCTAGTGAAGAGTGGTTAGATTGGCTCTACATTTTCACAGCATTTTAAAAAACCTCTTTATCCTATTATATAAAATTCCTTAAAGGACACTTATTACTAATCGCTGAAATTCATTAAGTATTTCAATGCCAGGATGTTCCTTTTAGGCTCACAACTTTTGATAAATTTCTCTTTAAAGATCTTGTTAATTTGCTATCGTCAAATATATGTTGCCAATTACCATTAGGCTAAAATCTATTTTCTTCTAATTCCAAATTGTTTGAAGTCAAACTGTTTAATGAATGGATTGCTTTTGGTGTTTACTCCATGCTTCCTAGGTAATGATACATGTATCACTTAATCAACATTAATAAGCTACTGTGATGTGGCAGGCACTATGCTAAATGATGGGGATACAAAAGAGGAAAAGACAGTCCCTGCTCTGAAGGAGCTTTCAATCTAGTAGGGGAGATAACATGCAAGCAAAGCAAGTTATATATAAGATAAATAAGAAATATAATTGGTCCATCCTCATTATTCAGATTCCATATTTGGGAATTTGCCCACTTGCTAACATTTATTTGTAGCCCCCAAAATCAATACTCATGCTTTCACCGTCACGCGCACGCAGAGTGTCGGACCTAGCTGAGATTGAACAAGGTGATGTTCTGCCTTCTTGTTTCAGCTTTCATATTGTAAACAAGTATCCTTTTTGTGATTTAGTGCTACATTTTTTGCACTTTTGTGGGTAATTTCACTGTTTAAAATGGTCCCCAAGCGTGGAAGTGAAGTTCTCTCTAGTGTTTCTAAAGTATCCTTTTTGTGATTTAGTGCTACATTTTTTGCACTTTTGTGGGTAATTTCACTGTTTAAAATGGTCCCCAAGCGTGGAAGTGAAGTTCTCTCTAGTGTTTCTAAGCGCCTGGCCTAATGGAGAAAACCTGTGTATCAGATAAGCTTCCACCACTGCTGGCTGTGAGTTCAATGTTAATGAGTCAACAATATGATAGAGCCAGAAAAAAGAAGAGGAAATTTGTTGATCTGTAAATGAGGCCTCTCGGGGAAAGTGCTGAAGTAAATGTTGTGACCAGAGGCTCATAGGAACCTAACTGCTTATTTCTCCTAGGACCAATGGTTCAGTATTTGCTAATTCAGTGTTTGTGGCAATTTTATAGAACATAACTACCTCAAATGAGGGGCATCAATTGTAATTAACAGAGAGAAGTCACTAGAATTAAGAGGGATTGGGGGAGGCATCCAGTAAAAAGTGGGATTTTATTTGAGACTTAAATGAAGCCAGAAGTGAGAGTAGGAGAGCGAGAGTGTTGCAAGAATGGGGTCAGCCAGATAGAATTCCTGGAGCCGGGAGGTGGAACATCTTGTTCGTGGAACAGCCCGGAGGTCAGTGTCACTAGATCGAAGAGTACATGTTGGGGAGTAAGGTTTGAGAAGACTGGAAAGGGAGGATATGAATAGCATGAACCTCATGGTAAGAGAGGTTACTGAGTGGTGGAGATAGGGGGAGAAGCTGGAAGAGGCAATGGGGAGCAAGAGGTATCCCAACTCCCCCACATTGATCTGTAAGATAAGGAGCCTGAGTGAAGATGCAGCCTTCACTCTGTGTCTTCACTGTGTCATCGGGGGAAAGCCAGGTTTCAGCAACAGATGTAGATGGAAGGATGGGAGAGGAAAAGATTTAGCATAAAGAAAAGTTTGTTGCCTATGGAACAGGCATTCCAGAGGGCACAGCGGAAGGGCTAGGTGGTGTTTGCTGGAAACTTGAGGGTGGGATGATTGAGGGGGATGCGAATGAGGACTCAGGTGCTAGGGGTCAGATGGGGCATGGGGTTTGGATGGTGATCTACAGGAGTTCAGTCACCAGGAGGCATGACCAGGTGTGAGAACGTTCATCATTGAGCAGAGGACGTCGTTCCTCTTCCTAGCAGAGGTTGGATGTCAGACTGGAGATAAGTGCAGTATGAGATGACAGCACAAGCCCAGATGGGGGGCCCTGTT